AGAGAGAGAGAGAGAGAGAGAGAGAGAGAGAGTGTGTATATGTGTGTGTGTTTGTGTGTGTACATGTATATGTGTGTCCTAGGAGTGTTTGAAACAATTGAAGCTTTTGCCTTTTTTTAAAGAGTTTTATGTTTGTTTTTTCTTTTTTTAATTAGCCATTTCAAGAACTACCACCTTACCCATACCTTGATTGAACTCTCTTGAACAAAGAAAAACAATGAAGCAATTTTATACATTTGACAGAATAAATATTTTGCCCTGCCTTTTTGATGTTAGAATCATAGGATCATAAATTTAGAGATGGAAGGGACCTTAGGGGTCCGTTGTACCAGTCTCTTTCTTTGAAAGCTGAGGATTTGAGTCCAGAGAAGTTGTCACTTGCCCAAGTCTTTGACATTGTGTAATGTATAATACTCGTGTTTTATGTTCTTTTGATTATGCTTATATTTTCTTTATCAGTTCATACATTTTCCTGTGTTTCTAGGAATTCCTCATATTTATCATTTCTTTTCTTTTCTTTTTTCTTTTTTTTGGTTAGGCAATGGAGTTAAGTGACCTGCCCAGGGTCACACAGCTAGTAAGTGTTATGTGTCTGAGGCCAGATTTGAATTCAGGTCCTCCTGAGTCTAGGACCAGTGCTCTATCCAATGCGCCACCTAGCTGCCCCATATTTATCATTTCTTACTGCATAATAATGTGTTTTAAATCAGTAAAAACACGTTTATGAAACCCTATATTCATATATTGGGCTGCTAGGTGGTGCAATGCATATGGCTCCAGGCCTGAAGTCAGGAAGACTCATCTTCCTCAGTTCAAATCTGACCTCAGACGCTTACTAGCTGTGTGATCCTGGGCAAGCCACTTAACCCTATTGACCTCAGTTTCCTCATCTATAAAATGAGCTGGAGAAGGAAATGGCAAACCACTCCAGGATCTTTGCCAAGAAAACCCCAAGTGGAGTTGTGATGAGTCGGACGTGACTGAAACTACTGAACAACAGCGATATTCATATATCGCAGTTTACTCAACCATATTGCAATCTATAGGCACCCACTTTGTTTCTAACTCTTTGCTATTACAAAGAGTGTTGCTATAATTTTGGTGTTAATTGGAATTTTGGATGGTGGCTGCCAGCGGTAGGCTAATGGGGGCGAAGTATTGCTGTTTCCAGGGTTCTTGTACTTACCAGACTTGCAGTGGCATTTGGTTAACAGTTGGTGTTGATGATAGTGGGTTTTGCAAATGGAAGCATACAATTAAAAATGATTAGTTAAGGATGGATTAGGCAGCTCGGTAGGAGAGTGGGTAGGGCTTTGGGGCTGTAGTCAAGAAGACATGGGTGTAAATCTAGCCTCAGACACTTACCAGCTGTGTGAGTCTGGGCAAATCCCTTAACATCCTACAAACTCAGTTTCCTCAACTACAAAATAGGAATAATAATAGCCCCTACCTTCTGAGGTTGTTGTGGGATAAAATGAGATAATTTTTGTAAAGCACTTTGCAAACCTTCAAGTGCGCTATAAATTCTAGCTATTTGTTGTTGCTGTTGTTGTTGTTATTACAACATCTTAGAGTCAATAGGTAATCATTGGAATTTAATGAGAAGGGAAGTGACATGGTCAGACTTGTGGTTTATGAATATCACTTTGGCAGCCATGTGGAGAGTGGATTCTGGTGGGGAAAAACAAGACAGGGAGAGCAATTAGGAAGCTATTTCAATAGTCCAGATGAGAGATGATGAGGGCCTGGGTGAGGATGGTGGCTGTGTGAGTAGAGAGGTAATGGAAATGAGAGATTTGTGGAAGTAGAGAAGACAATATATGACAATTGATTGGATGTATGGTGTGAGAGGGAGAGTGAAGAGTTGAGAATGAGACATAGATTGTAAACTTAGACGTGTAGGAGTATGTTGATGCTCAGAATAGGCATGTTCAGAAGGGGTGGTTTTTGGGGAG